TTACTGTTTTTTCATTGTTTGTTTTGTTTTGCTTTCTAAAGCTTGCTGTCTCCAAACTTATAGAAAACAACTTCATCTTACTTCAAAAATTTCTTCAGAAACAAAGATATGGTTCTAGAAAATCTATAGCCTCAAGTCTCATTATGGCAAATAACTTTAAAAGAAAACTCAATATGATTATGATTTCCCAATAGTGCAATTGTTCTTATTAGAATAACACTTATTAAAACCCTGACATGACCAAAGAATTCAGGCAGTTCCTAAAGCAGTTGCTATGACAGGTTACATTTCTAATCAATCAATAATTTGCCTCTAAAACCTGAATAAATCCCAAGCCACACTTGGTCCAGTTGATTCAGAGATTCGCATTTAAAAAATGCACAGTACAGTAACCAAACTAAACAAAAAGGAATTTCAATTTTCACTTGTGTTTCCCGATGCAAACCCAATTCATAACTCAGTGTATCAATTCTCAGAGTCCCCTTCTCCCTTTCCTACCTTACAACCCTCCAGAGCATCCAAAGTCTCTCATTCAACAAAGCCCTAAAATACCCCAGACACCCAGCCTGTACCACTTTTCTGATTCTCTCCCCTCTCCACTTTACCATGTTCACCAACTCGGGCTCTCTAACTTCTTAAGTTTTCTTTTCACTTTGCACGTTACAATTGAGAGCCCAGAGCAAAGAGAGCTAGAAGAGCAAAGAATTCTCCTTCCTTTCTCCTTTCTCTCCAGCCCTATCCATCTCTGACCATTCTCCGAATTCTGCAACCTAAAAATCAGGAATCAAATGCACAGGGCAAGAGCAGGGGAGATGCCAAGCTGGAAAAGATAAAATTTTCATCAATGAGAGAGACACCAAGAATAGGAACATTTGGGATGCAGATATTAATACAAACCTTCTCCTTAACATGCTTATTTGAATCAATAGAATAAATGCCAATTAACTTGTGAATACTATTTTTCAAATGCTGAAAAGATAATAATGGCTAGTATTTATTTAGCGTTTACTCTGTGCCAAGCACTGTTCTAATCTTTTAACATCATAAACTCAGTTAATCATCCCAACAACCTTAAGAGGTAGGTATCATTATTCATCCCATTTTGCAGAGAAGGAAACTAAGGCACAGAGAGTTTAAGTAGCTTGCCTGAAGTCACACAACTGGTAAGTAGTGGGCTCTAGATTTAAACCTAGAACATCTGATTCCAAAGGCTAGACCTTTAACCACAATATAAGTAACATACTCTCGAAACATCTGATATCGATTTAGTCCAATTTACGATTTTAGACCTACTTTGTTCTTTGGCTGTGTGCCTGAAAACCTTTTTGATGATTTCCATTCCGTGGCATTTGCTTCCTTTGTAGAGCTGCTGGTGGCATTTTTATTTGTTGCTCCCTTTCTTGACTTGACACCTACAGATACACGTAGTAACCATATCTGTATATAAAATTTTTTTTTAATGTGTCCACCCACAGTTTTAAATCCTTCCCTTCCGGAGTGCTTTGCTCCCATCACCAAGGGGGCTGAGAAATAAGACTTCCCTGATTTCCATACTGGAGGGAGCTCAAGTCATAGAACCTCCTGTTTCTTTTTAATTGAACCAGACGGAGAAATCTAATTACCATGACAACTTTGACCTTGCCTTGGGCGCCCACTTCCTAATTTTACTTACGTTTCTCTAAGCGGATGAAAGCAAACAGACTTACTGTGCTTGCGGGCGTATTCTGCTGCTTTGGGCGCTGTTAACATGGCGAAAGGGTGCAAGGAGAGACGGAGAGATGAAACTCGGGGCACCTGAAAGGAAAACAGTCCTCCTCTTAAAAGCTGTGCACTCGGCCGGGCCCGGTGGCTCACACCTGTAATCCTAGCACTCTGGGAGGCCGAGGCGGGCGGATTGTTTGAGCTCAGGAGTCCGAGACCCGCCTGAGCAAGAGCGAGACCCCGTCTCTACTAAAAAGAGAAAGAAATTAATTGGACAACTAAAAATATATAGGAAAAAAAAATTAGCCGGGCATGGTGGCGCATGCCTATAGTCCCAGCTACTCGGGAGGCTGAGGCAGGAGGATCGCTTGAGCCCAGGAGTTTGAGGTTGCTGTGAGCTAGG